ATAAAATTCTAAAATTTGTTAAATGATTTTGCAAAGCATCTTTTAACAGACTTTCCAGAATTTTCCCACAACTGATTGGGACAATTTTTATCACCTCTCTTGAAAAGAGGAGTTACATTAGCTAACTTCTAATCCTCTGGTACATGCCCACTATTCAAGGACTGACAAAAAATAGTAGTAAGTGGCTCACATATCCAATCTTTAACCCCTTTCAAAACCCTTAGTGAAATATTATCTGGCCCAGGAGCCCTATCATTTTTTTAAACTTCCCTTTATAAAGCAATTCCTGAGATTCTTCTTTGCATTTTATCATATCCCTCTAAGGTCATCAGCTATTGCAAAGATAAACATCATATGCTGGAGAATAAGTTCTTAAACTGTTCAGTCACTTCAGTAGGCTTATGACATGGTTTAATGTTACCTAAGTTTGTACAGATGTGTCACTTAAACTCTTGTACAAGTTTATCTTACCTGCATTAGTACCATCACTGTTGCTAATGTTACTGCATGTCAGTGCCGAGTCTAATAAACTGTTTCCTCTTGTATCACCCTATTTCATATTAAAAATTTAATATTAGTACAAGTTGTTTCTGAAGCTGATAGAAAAATTCTTGGAGATTTGATAATTACAGCAATGTCTCATGCATAATATATATGTAAAATCAAAGGAAAGAGTTGTAAACAAAAATATTCACTGTTCTACTTTCTTGAAATACAGTAATTGTTCATCTGTCAAACAAAGAACATCTTTAAAATCTCAAAAAGTGAAAAAATAAGAGGAATTCAAAGGATTGAGTGCATTATGCTAAAAATATTTTGAAATCAGCAAGTTGTGGTGGAATGAAATGTTTCAAAACTACATTATGACATTGTTTGACATTTCATAAGTAGTGTGATTACATCCAAAATTGAATGCCTTTTGGGAAGGGTATATAATAGCCCTTTCCTATGCAAAATATTCATACACCCAGATCATAAAGAGTAGTTCATATCAGAGATTAACTATTTCCAAGATAGGAATATCATTTGTACTTAATGACATTGGAAAACAAAGGAATATGGATCAACTGAGGGTAACAAGCCCATCCAAAAAGAGACTTGCAATAAGTCATTACCCAGCCATGGTAAGCAAATTGTTGAATCCTTTAATAGGTGAAAATCCATAAACACAAAGGTCAGTGGCAAAAGCCATCCATGCATCTCAGGCAACAGTACACAACATAATCAAGAAATACCTCCATCTAGAAACAAGGCCTACAGGATATAGGTTCACCAATAAGGCTTTTAGTTATCCTCCCATTCAAACATTGCATATTTCAAGCAGCTAGGGAATGAAACAGGTATTCATGCTAATCCATATGAAGATGCAATAGTCAAGTCTTCAGAAACAGTGCCTATGGATTTTTGTATGATCAAATCATTAAAGGGCACTGTGAAACCATTGTCCTTGTATACTACATTGATTATGGAGAACCTGAAGGGAGAACTTGAATGTTTCGTATATGACAGAGCATTTTGCAATGAAAACCACATTGCAGAGCTATTGCAAAGGGGGATGGTAATCAGACAGAGCAATATAGACTGTAACAACATGTTGTGGCTCCAAACTCATTTTAATATAACATCATCATTTCTGTATTACACCAAAAGTCTTCAATTATTGTCAAGTGTTTGGTATAAGCAGTATTTCAATTGAGACTTTTTATGTTATAATTCAACTGCTTGATGAACTGTGGAATCGGACAACAGATCTTGTCAGCTACAGTGTACTAGAGACAAGTGTAGTTAAAATTTTATTATACACAAGTATTGGGCCAGCCAAAAAGTATGTGATTAAAATCCTTATCACTCTCATTTGGATGTAATATCACAATATTCACCAAAATTGAATCATGTTTTGCCAAGTTAGAGGTAGTACACAAAAAATAAAAAAACTTAATTTTTTCTTATAATTAAAAAAAAATTCATTACACGTTTGTGGCAAATTATTTGGACATACATATCATAAATTTATATTTTATTCACAAAATGATTAAAAAAGTGTGAATTGGAGAAGAATAAGATGTATAACATCAAATAACTATTCCAGGGACCACAAAACATAAGAAAAATATATCACAATTGTATGGAGCTCAACATTAATTTCACTGTGAAATATGCAGTTATGATTTTGTTGTTTGTGGTGTATATGTAAAATCCACACAATCTTTATTTTTTAGTCTTAAGATTTATAAAGAAGAAACTGTGCTTATTCAAGGATATCCATACATTAAATCTTCCTTATTGCAAACTGAAATAAAGTCATTAAATCAGCTTTCATTATACAAGCTAGTTTACTCTACTATTTGAAAACTTCATATCATATTAAAAATGCATTAACAAATAAGTTTGATGATTTTCCACTTCAAAAACAATTTAAAGGTTCAAACTAACTTTCATGGACATATTGTGTTTTGGAGAATTATAAATGGTTATTGAGCATGCAACTATATTATATTTGTATTAGACTAACCACAGCAGAGTTTCCTGTCAAGTTCATATAGAACCCAGCAACATTTGTCAATCTGAATAACTTGATTAAAGGATGCGTCCCTACTAATATCATATAGCTTCACTAACTCACTGTAGATATCAGATCGACCTGATTTTGTGTTGTTCCAGTAATATCAAAGGAGCCCATTACTCAAACACATTGCTATAAGTCAAATGGTTATAAATAAGTTTCTCCACAGCAAATACTGATTTAGTTCATAGACAATATCTTCAATAAAGATTCATCTGTCATTTTTGATAATTTTGTCTATTCCTCCAATTGTCTTATTGTTTACTGCTGTCTGTGGATGGTGTGATTTAGACTTAACAATTCTGGCATTTGTTTGGCTAGCCTTAGACCTCATGAGACACTTATTCATTCATGCATGGAAATATTACTTATCACCATAGACATTTTGCGGTTTAAATGCTGAAATCTGGCAAAACTATTAGTAACCAATAGGCCTAAAATTGTTACAAAAATCAAGTTAACTGCACTTGACTATTATCACTATAGACATTTTTTTAACCATTGGTTTTCACTCTCTTATGTTAAGAAATTTGATTTATAGTATTTTGGTTAAAGCCATTGTCACTTTCAGTTGCCATTTTGTAATGTTACTGTTGTGCATTACCTACTATGGGAACACATCATATGATACTGTTAGCTGCAAGACATATACTGATTCAACTATTAGTATGATCACTCATTGGTTGTTATATCAAAGATACAAGAAATAAAAATACCATTTCTTACAAAACAATCATTACTAGAAGTTGCCCAAGAGGTCACCTATAGAGAGAGAGTATTAATACAAAATTGAATTCAAGTTAAACAAGCAATATGAAAAATATATTATTACTTTTATATATGAACAAAAGCATGCCATAACTCATAATCAAATCCAATATCTTCACAACAAACATTAAATTTGTAACTTCAAGAATCCAATATTCTTACTTAAATATTCTAAATACTAGACTCTGTCAATGCTGCAAGTGTTTTGATACAACAATATAAGATATATTTACCCAGTTTCTTAAACACACCTTTTCAGAGACATATGTAGGAACTGCAAGAGTGGAGCGGTAATCTTGACGAGGATATAATGAGGAATTTTTGGTTGATAAAGAGTTTATGCTTTTGTCTCGGTTATCACCTGCTGGTTTTCTCTCTGACTGAACAGCTAAAAGAAAGATTTCAAGGGTAATAGTGTGTCTACATCCATTTATGAATAAAGTGATTATGGCATGAACTTCCCCAATTTAGTGTTTATAAAATCAACTTCCATTTGAACCTTAGTGAAGCTTCCCAATAAAACTAAGTAGACAGCACTTTTTTGATTGATATTTTCATATTTAAAATATTTTTAGGAATGCATGAAAAATGTTTCTTATCACAAACTTCCCAAAACTATTAATAAAACAGGTCAACAAATTAAATTTAGTTCTAAAAAGTAAAGACATTTTAAGCTTCTATTTTGAGCATGCAATGTTGTTTAAATGCGAAGTTAAGTTAAAGTAAAGCAAGCACATACAAAGATTCTACATGTATATATGTCCAATTTGTCAAGCATTATTACTACTCACAATGGGAAGTAAGGTGAGGAACATTGTTTGTGTTATGTCTTATTGAAAACTCTGAAGACAAGAAAGTCTAGAATCAACAAATTAATACCACAAGGAGACCAACAAGGTCACAATAACTCAAACTTATCTTCACATCACACAAATATAGTGTGATTTTACACAGTTCTGTTCAGAGCCTAAACGAGTCAACAAATCTACAGTTTAGACTGATTTTAAAGTACTTTCTAGACTTATATATATCTAAGTAAGTTTAATGAAATAACTGTATTTGTGTAGATCTTGTGACTCTGAAACAACCTTTCAAAAGCCCACATTCAGTCAAGAGACAAATTATAAATCTAAAGATTACTGAAAAGTGCAAGGCATGAATGAGTTAGTATCTCTATCATGAAACACCTAGTCTGTCTGGTCAGTTATTTGCTAAACTATCACAATTTAATATGAAAAACTAGATTTTAAATTGTTCAAATTAAAAGTTTCATCTTACTTTGTATTCAAATAAAGAAGTTTTAAATAGAATTATACACAATTTTTTACTACCTATCTAATAAAGATCTAACATATGATAGGTCTAATTCTAATAATTGGCATTAATTAATAGCTTGATTACAAACAGACTATAAATACATACATATTGTCAAAATGTCTTGTAAATATTACATTTAACACAAGAATGAGATCATTCTTTGCAAATTTTCTGGGAATACAGATGTCATAATTGAGTAGTATAAGCATTAAGATATTACAAGTGTAGAGAATATCTATTTGGAAATAGCCATGCCATTAATGCTTAAACCCTGTAATCTAAAACAAACCACATACAAAAGCTGCCAATGTAACTTTAGAAAATGTGAATTTTTTAAAATAGATTCCAAAGTTATGAAAACTGAGGTAGTATATGGCTGAAACAGGAAGAAAGAAAAACATAAAACCAGCCACCCAAGTGCTGCGAACCATACATGCCAACTTACAGTCCGCCCTCATTCCCATGGCTAGGCACTTCTGCAAACGGCAGTACTGACACCGATTACGATGATGTTTGGTGACTTCACAATCTCGATTTCCACGGCAAGCATAACCTAACTGTTTACGTATACTTCTCTTAAAGAAACCTTTACATCCTTCACAACTGATTGCCCCATAATGGCGACCTAAAAGATATGTGGAACTAGTTGAACAATGAAAAATGGGTTATAAATGGATCTTAATAATCACAATTTTCTATGATGAGATTGATAAGAATATTAACTGCTAGCATTTAAATCTAACAAAAACAATAAAGCATGTGATACCAAACCTCACCTCTTTGGAATTAATTTGAGGAGAACATTTTAAGGTATTTTCCTCATAAACTTTTTACTGCACCTTTAAACTAAAGAACTAAGAATAACTTAATGTTATTCTGTTTTTTACTTTCATTGTCCTTCAACAAGATGTTAAACATCACTGAATTTTTTTTTACATAACTTGTTCTTTATTGATTCATATACCTTCGAATAACATAAATTGTGAAGAATTAGCAACCCTCTCTATTTGAAAGCTTTAAGGGTTATGGGACAAAAAGTGTCATCTAGTGTTAACAACTTGCAACTCACATCACAACTTCATGAGGTATACTGATGCTCGGACAATACAACAAAGAGCTTACCCTAACCTAAGTTTAAAAATCCTTTTCTATAATTGGTACCATTCATAATAAAGTATAAATAAGGACCAATAAGAACAACTACATATCACTTGAATCTTTCAAGAATATCTTGGCAATGTTTCAGTAAAAGAAATTCAGACTACAAATGTTTTGTAGTAGATTTGGGTGTCCATAATAAACAAGATTCACATGGCTACATAGTGTAATATGCTTAATTTAGCTTTTTACAATATTATATGTTTTAAAACAAAGGAAGTTATCTCTCTAACAGTCTCTATTCACATATCAGACACAAGAAATGCAGCAGATACTGCATATAAACTGATAAAATATAAACTAAACAGAAAACTGGAATGCCAAAACCACATGGGACACCACTAAATTTGTACACTGATTCTCATTTTAATTAGTGAATAAAATCATTTATTTATGTACAACTTAGAAATTTTTAGTTGTGAAAACAATTTGAATGTCATTGAATCTTGACCTCAAAATAAAGTAAATTTTGTCTCTAAAATTGTTGTAGTCACTCTCTGCTAAAAACTGCTCCTGACTGCACTTTGGGAACTATATCATTTTAAGATCAAGATTCATCAGACTCAAAGTGCTAACACATAGAACAAGTAGTATAGTCTTTAATTTAGAAAATTGTCAATTAAATTATACTATGTTATGCCAGTCATTTACTTTTATCCAGTATACAAAAGATATCACATCAAACACTTAAGCCTATATATTGGTAAAACACTACCTGAAGCTTTGTCACCACATACAACACACAGTTCAAATGGTGGTTTCTGCTCATATTCTTTTCTTAAAAATGGTTCTTGGTCTCTCATTCTCGCTAACTGCTCAGCAGTTTGTAACTCCTTCACTTTGATTGCCCAATCTGATGAATTAAAGTTGGTTGGAACCAGAGTCAATGTATTACCCAAAGGAGACTCACTTGAGGAACAACTGATCTGAAGGTAATCTATGTGATCATTCACCTGAAATTGAAAGAAAATCATTTTAAAAGTATGTATCTGAATTTGTGTTTATATGACTTTATTTTGTTATTTGATGTTGAAACCCATTTTGTAATGTAGGTTTTAAGATACACTATGCTCTTATATATCCACAGAAATGTATATCTTTATTGTTGGAAAATGATATAAAACATGAAATACAACAATTGTGAAATCAAGAGCATTATAAATGAATCTTAAAAAATCATAATACAATTAAATTATTAAGTTAATAGTATTTTTGACCAATCACCACATTTTTGGACACAATTTTACATTAACCAGTATCTTTAAGATTAAACAATATTTTGGTAAGTAATAACATTTCAAGAGATTAATAGTTATAACATGAACAATATAACAGATCTAGTCCTCTAACCTTAAACAATTATTATCTCAGTTTTCAATTCATGATTTTTAACATTACATCTTGTTTTCTGCTTGGACAGTTTTTTATAATTAGTAATAAAAGTCTCTACTATTTCCACAGTATGAAAGTTACAGCTGATTTTCAACTTCATTATTTATTATATTCTGTTTTCAAACTCCTCCTCCAAACTTATACATTTCCATTTCCCACATTTTATTTATTATTATTTTTTCCTAATCCCCATAAAAGTCCAAAATTAAGTGAAAAGAAACAATACTCATTTCTTAATCCCTGTTAAACCATCCTCCCTTAACTTCTAAGCAAATGACTATACATATTCAAAACAAAGTTGCTTACACTGATGATTAATTTTATGTATTTAAGAATTTAATTTCTCTTGTTTGTAACCTATCTCAAAACAATATAAAATAATCAAGAATTCTACCGGACTGTCAGGTTCAGTTTTAATTCCTGCCATCTCATTCTCGGTTGAACTCAAAGTTGGAGATTTTTTTGGCTTATCCTTACTCAGAACCAAAGCCAGCTGATTCTTAAATGGATTATCAATTTGTTCCAACTCGTCTTTTGTTGTTCTTGAGTCTTTGGAATTGGAATCACAGTCTTTCTCTGAAGAAAACAAAAAATTATTTTTATACAACGTTTTTATTATTGCATGTTACAAAATATCAGATTAAATGTATGGAACATTGAACTGTAGCCTGAATCATGCTTGCTTTGTTTCTCTTTAACTCCATGTATATGGGTGAAAGTCAAAGTGCAAACCCTAAACTTGTAATGAGTGTCATTCAACATGATATTATGGATTTTATGTTAGAGTTATCAACATTTCATGTTACCCTACACAGCTGATCTTGCAACAGTTTGTGTTACACAAAACACCAGATACAATATCCAGAGATACTGAAAGAAACTTTAGATATTAATTTAGAAAATTGTAGAAGTTATGCAAATACAATTTGCAAACTGTACCATGGACAAAAGTATCTTTATTCTTCACATGAACATCATCTTGCACTTTGACTTTTCAGAGTCTGAGTCAGACTTATGTTGGCATATCACAGACATATCTTCAGTACAAAATCTTTAGTAACACATCTGATTTTTGTCTACAAGACTTGTACTGTTTGTTGACCAAAGGTATGGCACATTTTGTAAATAAAGACTACATAAATTGAGAATTATAATCAACATTACTTCTCCTCTAGAAATAGGTTGATCCTCTTTTAACCTGCAGCCATTAGAAGACATGTAGGCTTAATTACAGATGTTTCTTTTCCCTTTAACCCTTAACCAGTGAGAAATATGAATTTATAATCATTTTTGTTTTGTTTTTCTTTAATTTATACCCACTTTGAAACATGTAATCTGCTCTTCAGCTACATCTTATGAAAGTTTGACTGCAAAATTTTGTAATAATTTTACAAGTAGCTGACAGCTGTTTTGGACCTAATCAATTCAGTTCAAAATATTTCTTCCTAAATATACTACAGAATAAGACTACTTAATACCAGAAATAAATAAAAGTATACCATACCAATACTTGAAGGAAAAGACTTAAGTTAATGACACAAATGAAAACAAGCCAATTACTCTTGTTATTGCATACTAAAGAAATTAAAATGACGACCTCCTGAATGTCAGAAACAATTTCCACTTTCATGAAGTATTTTTGCAGAATTACATGCAGTAGAAGATTAAAACTCACAACAAACTTCATAAATCTGACAGAAAATATAAGGAAGTACTAAGAAAAAACTTGTAATTAATTTTCAATAGCTGTAAAAAGGCTAATCCTGTATCTACAGGAAAAAATCCAGCAGGTACTCAAGGATAATACAGGGAAATAATTTACATAAAGGATAATTTTGCAGTACAACTTTTTTTTTTTATAGATTAAATAAATATCATTTAAATATTTTCTTAATAAGACATTTTTATTAAACACTAATCTACTATTTCTATTGTGGTGCTGAATTCCTTGAAGCCAAAGGCAATCTGAGGATTTTTATAGTCTCCAAACAAATCTTATCATTTTCAAACTTTTATCCAACACCCAGAATTGTACTTCCTTTCAGGAATATGTTTGGTACTTTGATGTTTCCAAAGTAACTTACTAACTGATATAACCAACAGTTTTTGGTTGATCTCTAGTTTTTTTACAGGAATTCCCAGTATGGCTTCTACTGTACTTCATAAAAATGTTTTATTTCTAGATACAAGTAGTCTAGTTGAAATCTGGTCATTCGCTAACTTTCACCAATATCTGAATTTTAATGTTACAGACAGTTAAGTCAAGTTACTACAAAGTATGCAAAAATACAATACTAACATTCATTAGTAAAAAAACTGATATACTGTCTATTAAGTTAATAAAACCCACTGGTGTACCAGTTAGTAAAACTATACTGGATATATGAACTTGCCATTCCCTCCTTTATTTGGCAAAAGTAGTCCTTCTTTCAAATCAGAGGGGGATATTTAATATATATTTTTTTAATCTAGAAGCATTTTACTACTATTTCATACATTTTGTGTGCACTATACGATACCAGCAGTGACAGAACCCACACAATAACTAACAAAATTAATACCCTTGAGCTTTTGCTACCACTGTATTATGAATTTGAAAAACAAAGCATTTTTATGTAATAGTGTTCTCAAGCAGAAATGTATGCTGTAGCTTATGCCAGGTTAGAGAGTAAACTATGTTGGATATTATAAGTTTGTCTTAAATATTACATCATACACTAATACTATACACTAGCATGCATATTTAAGTGTCCAATGATCCCCTCTTTAGGTCTGAGCTGCTTTATTTCATTTGATTCCTAAACACACACAAAAACTGCTCTTTAAAACTTGAAGAAGCTTTGTCATCTCACCCTCTTGTTCTTATGCCTATCATAGAAAGTCTTCTTAGAATTTAGTGTATTTATTTTATTGAATCCTGCTAGTCTACTGGTTACAAAATGGGAACAATACTGTTCTGTTTTTTCATAGAATCCATTGGTTAAATAGACCCCACTGATATACTGGATATTTAACAGAACCCACTGGTCCGTAAGATATAAAATGGAACCAACAGTGTAATAGCTGCTAAATGGAAACCAGTATTGAAATGGATCTTCCTAGAACATACTTTATACCAGTTCATATTCAATTCCAACGTTGAACTATTGAGTTAATCCTCCTAATGTACAGATTCTTTCTAGAAATTGTTGTTATACTGGTTCTTGCCAAATCCCTTTGGTTAACTGAAACCATCAAGTCTTCTGAATATTTCAGAGACTCTGGCTACTGTACCAAAAAAATGTAGTGTGCATGTTCACAAAGTTAAACAGGAAAAAAATCACTAGCAAATAACACTAAATCATTATATTCTCTGGACTCCACTGGTTAATAAACAAACAAGACATTCACCAGTGATAATCAAAAGATACCAGTTAATACTATTATGTTAAAGATTGATCTATATTATATGCTATACATAAGAAATGCCATGCATTCCAGTCATAGCTAGATTGCTAGTCCAAAAACAGCAGTAGTAGAGAATGCAAATCAGCTGAGACAAATTAATCTTAAGCTATCAATCTCTTATACAAAAACCAATCCTAACATTTGACAACTGGACTGTTTTAAGAGGTAATCATAAACTTCCAGCATAATCTCTTCATATACACAAATTTGTGATACACAATTACTTACCACAGTTGTCAATGTTTATTGTAAATGATATTACAACTCAATGGCTCTATATTTCATAAGAGTTTTACCATTATATCATTAACAATTATTTTTTTATTATTGTCTCAAATTATGTCCTTTGAAATTTTGAAAAAGTTCACTCTCCTTTTTTTATGCAATAAAACATTTGATCTTTCTACAGTCTGTTAAGTAAGCTCACCTTGATTAGATGTCAATTGTTTGTTCTTCCTTGATGTCATGGTCGAACAGTCATGAAGGTCGTCAACTCTTGTGGGGTCATTATTATCAGTTTTGGCTTCTGTTGATCAAATTCAGCATTTACTAGTGCACGAACATTCATAAAATTACTTTTTCTTACACAGTACATCAACCATCAAACACAATAAAATTTATAAATAAAAAAAAAGAGCAAAAGCAACATTTAAAGAAAAACATAAGCATTCTTTTTGAATGCCTGGATGATACTCTGCTTAACCTAATTGCATTAAATGTGATAATATAACATATAAACGTAAACTAAGTTTTCTTAATCATTTTTCAATCCCTACATTAATATTTTATATTAATTACTTTTTAGTAAAACATTCTGAGACCTGGTTTTTTCTTCACTAGATATTATATGAGTGCTAGTGAAAAGCACTTTCCATTTATTGTATCAACAAATGCTGATTTCTGGGCATACTATTTCAAATAAACTAATAATGGCCTATGTTACAGTTTTTGAAACTCATACAATAGATTAAATCATAATAATGGCCTGTGTTACGATTTTTGAAATTCATACTGTAGATTAAATCATGCAGCAGCATGATGACTATATCAGGAAAGTCTTTTCAGTCTAGGTCCATGTTATAAATATGGAAAACTAAAACCTCATGTTTCCAGCAGCAAAGTCTGGTATCCTAAAAAATTCTCCTTATACGCTTATCTGTACAGCAATTCTCAACTGCACTTGTGAGGAAGTTTTAAGTAGGTAAAAAGTCACTCAGTGCAAGTCTATGGACATATAATGCTATAAATCAGGTTTCCATACCCATGGTGAGCTCAGCATAAATAGCCCATTGTATAGTTTTGTGCTCAACAACAACAAACAAACAAAACTTGTGCATCAGTTTAAGGAGATTTGAGTAGATGAATTAATGAGATCCATTTGTTAGAGATAAAAAGTTATATGAAATGCATGGTCAGCATTTGAGTAAGAGAGGGTTGACTTTTCTGCATAGGTTATTAATCTATTTATTCAGGATATTTTAAACTACTATTACAGAGTGGGGAGGGAATAGTGTTGCATTGGGAGTACAGTATATACTGTATATAACAAAGTTAATGAAGATTGCATGAGTTTGATTAGGTTAAGGGATAATGGAGGTAGGGCCAAAAGGAGTCTAGATAGAGATCAGGATGGGTTACAAATGCAGGATTAGCAGAGTTAATTTAAAAAATTCCTCAAATTAGAGACATGTGCACAAGTACTATTTTTCAAATATTAGGGTTTTAGTTGGATTGAAGGATTTTGATGTTATAAGGATTAGTGAGACTTGGTTTGACTTGGAAAATCATAGAAATAATTTTAGAATTTTTGGATACAAGTTATTCAACTGTGATAGATTATTTAAACAAGGAGTGGTGGTGACTATTACATTATAGAAAAGATACAGCTAATAAAACTGAAGAATATTAAAGAGGCTAGTACAAATGTAGAATCAGTATTGGTATCTACTTTTAGATAAAGACAGGAGGTTAGAGCTGGGAAGTTGCAATAGGCCACCTGATCAGACTCAGGCCTTCAATGAGTTGCTTTATAAATTATAGATAAATTAGAAATGCTTCTTAAAAATAAAAGAGGTTCTGGTTATGAGATACTTTAACTTTAGAAATAATAAATTGGATTGTATGGAGTAAGATAGTGAAGGTGATAATTTTTTGGAGTTAGTACTGAGCAGTTTGTTTGTAATTATGCACAAAGCTACACAATGGGCTATCTGTGCTCTGCCCACCACGGGTATCGAAACCTGGTTTATAGCATTGTAAGTCTGCAGACATACCACTGTACCACTGGGGGACTAATAGCACTGGGCAGTTTTCCTCAGTTAGTTTAAGAAAACTAGAGATAATGTTATTTTATATTTAATATTAACCATTGATGAGGATACTGCTCAGAAGGTTGAGATAGAAAAAATTTGGAAACCAGTGATTACTATATAATTAATTAGATTTGAGGCTTTACTATATTTTAAGTTAGAAATTAATAATATTTTAGTTTCAAACAGATAACTTTGATGCCACAAGAAAGGAACTATCTCAGTTAAATTGGAATGAGTGTGAAACCTTTAGGGGCAAATTACTACATTTACAAATTAAAAATTTCAGGTTATAGAAAAAAATGCCAAACTTACACTCAAATGCTTTGCAAAGGAAATCAAATGAAATAGGTAAACATTATAAGCTTAAAAAATACAAACAGATTGCTAAAAAAGAAGATTCAGAGGCCTCAAAAAGTATTAAAGTTAAAAAACATTAGAAAACTGGAAAAGATATATAACAGTTTGCAGAAAATATCATTACTAACAGAGAAGGCTTTTTAAGTATGTTCAAGGGAAAAAGAAGTTGAGCCCTTAAAAAATTATGATGGGAGAGTTGGGATTAATGTTTACAAGATGGTGATGGTCGAGCAGATCATTTTTCTTTTCTGGTCAATTTCTACTAGGGAAAATGTACAATGGATTCCACAAGTGGATCCCCCCCCCCCAAAAAAAAGATTATTTTATATCCTTGAGTAGTTGCAATTACAATAGAGTAACATTTGACGTTTGAAAATTCTGGTTTTATTTGTTTTGCCAGAAAGGAAGCCAATAATGTATGGATTTTATTCTCCACGTAAAGTCGAGACAGCTTAGTCTGCTATGTGAGCATTAGCAGATCAAGTGATATGTTCACTTCCATCCCTATCTTGTTTGGTTCCTTATTTCAAGTTCAGTAGCCAGTCCTACACTGTTTTTTTAACTTAGCAGTAATTTTATTCACTTATACTTGTTTGTTTACTTTTTTTTATTAGATAGCTACCTGGGTTACTAGGTTATAGTGTTTTCTAAAGCTTTATAAATTTTGCATAGAATAATAATAAAATAGGTAGTCAAAGATCGTGAAGACTGTTTTGTTGACAAAATTACAGTTACTGCTAGAACTAGGTAGACGCTAGGTCTGTTGAAGAAAGATGATGATGAACGAAAATAAGAAATCTACGTTTTGGCTATTCACCAGTTTTTGACTTTTGGATGCTCTGGATAGCTGAAAAACAGCATATACACCGGAGTTAGAGTGACTATGGCAATTAACTCTTCATATTTAGCTTCTGATGACCTGTATATGTATTGAATTTTTTTTTACTCCTCCACTTTTTTCCTCCAAACACCTTCCAAAAAGTTAACTGTCCATTATATTCGCTACCACTGAAAATCACTAAAGTATTTAAAAAATGTTGCATATCCAGTGCAATGGATGGGACGGATGATGACATGCTGCGGGAATCAGAAGAGGGTGAAACAAAGGTTCAAGGATGCAAATCTGATGAATGCCATGAATCCAATAGTAGCAACAATTCTAGTGATGACGAAGATTTATGTGACGATGAATGATTAGCATATATTACCACGTATAAACTTTTCAATAAACTTAGCTTTTTAAAGGAACTCCAGAATTCTGTAAGAAAGTCAACTTCAAGGGGTCCTAACATCATTTACATTAGAATTATGATTTTTTGTTTTATTTGGCATAAAATAATAATAAAATAGGTAGTCAAAGATAGTGAAGACTATATTTCTCTATCAAATGATTATAAAACCATAGTTACTGCTAGAACTAGGTGGGCGCTAGGCCTGTTGAAGAAAAATGATGCTGAACAAAAATTAGAAATCTCGATTTTAGCTATTCACCGGTTTTCGACTTTGGGACGCTCTGGATAGCTGAAAAGCGGCATATACACCAGAGACAGAGTGGCTATGCCAGATATCTCTTCATATCTAGCTTCTGATGACCTGTACAGAAGAAAATCCAGATGTCTTTTGTATTGCTTTAATACGGGTGTCCGTGCCATCTCTGCACAGAGAGTGCTAGTGCACTTTCCGATTAGACCAAAGCTATTAAGATTCACAATTAGAAAATTGAAGGCACCTCAGCCAAATAATATTTATCCTTGGATAATGAAGGAAACAAATGACCATATTTACACAGAATTAAAATTTATTTTAAACGAATTCATTAATAATAGTGAGATGCTAGAAAGTTTGGAAATAAGCCAATATCATATTGATTGGTAAGGAGGAAATAGAGATAATGTCTAAGTAATTACCAGCCACTTAGTGTACTTCAGTGGTTTGGAAATTATTAAAATCTATAATTAAATAATTTCTAAAAGAGTATTTACACAAATTCATTGTTATCAAAGATCATCATCATGGGTTTAGAAAGCAGAGCATGAAATTAATATTTTATATGCCACCCTTACACAGTTATCCAAATTGTTAGGTATCAGAGGAGATTTTTGGTTGCAGAGATTAAAAATCACTTCTCCCCAAGAATAACAACAACAACAAAATTATTGCTATGGTTTTCTCTGTCTCTCCTCGAATATTCATGATTTCACAATAAATGCCCAACATGATAGCAGTCAACTCCATATTTTGTGGAAAGGGGATGGATGGGTACTATATCTGGCAAATACAGGCACGTGGATGAAACCTAGAGATCAGTATACTAGCAATAAAGGTAGATATATCTAGATTTGGTTCTACATTGTTGGAAGGGTAAATGTTTTACGGAGGCCGTATATGAATATATTATGATTTATTTTAGATCTACGCCTAAATCTGGGGTTGTGTAAATATACAGATTTATACAGTAATGGGAAGCCATGATTTTAGCAATGATACAAATTCATAAATCATTGTTTTGGAAGGAGAGTTTTTTGTTGTTTTTTACGTCACGTGATTAGAGCGTAGCTTAATTTCTGGACTTTTCTTGAAAGTTTCAAAAACGATTTGAACGATATCGAACACCTGTTATGTGTGATTTGAAGAGATTTTTGATTGATTAGCGAGTATGTTAAAGTGGTAAAATGAGCTAGCGAATAATTTTTGTTAGTCATTTGTTTGTTGCTGTCAGGCAGTAAGTCAGTTATATAAATTCTTAGTGTGTGTGTTTTTAACAAGATACTAGAGGTAAGCAGTAATTAGTCAGGTTACCCTTCCATGCATTGGGAGCATTTAATTTTACAAACTCAACTAGCGAACCCGTGAGCCA